TTTGCTCCCTAGGTTATCGTTCTACTCCGGACACTCGTCCTTCGGGATGTACTGCATGATCTTCCTGTCGGTGAGTGTGTCCTCATAGCGTGAGACTTTCTGCAGCTCTGAAATGGCTGTTTACCAAAAAAACACACATGACTAAGCCAAACAAGAGAATGTGGTCGACACAGACAACAAAACACCATTGTTGCTATACCACACGTGGCACAATGGCCGGAAGGTGACAGATTTAATGGTTTGATCCCTGTTAGGGGTTTTCAGGAGTGAATTATGAGCTGCTCAAACTCCACAGGAATCAGCATTTGGCGGGGGATAAAGTGGGACAAATTTTAGATTTAAAAAAAGTGTATAAATATTTTTTAAGGGGGGAAAGTCAGGAAATTTGCTATAGGTAAATGACTCCGATCTTAACCTTAATCTTGATTTGTTTTTTCACACAAAAAAATTGGTTCTTTAATGTGCGCAACCTTCGAGCTGAATTCAAATCTGTACTTTTGTGTGTTAAGCTCTATGTCCAGGCCCGAATGCAGGGGAAATGGACGAGACTGGTTCGACCCACCATCCAGTTCTTCCTGGTGTCGTTCTCTCTGTATGTGGGATACACGCGCGTCTCGGACTACAAACACCACCCGGGCGACGTCGTGGTGGGACTGCTGCAGGGCGCTCTCATCGCTGTGCTCACAGTGAGTGCTTTTCTGCGTCACGTTTATTGATGTTTATCATTAAAGCTGAGGACATTTATACGATTATGTAAGGTGAAAACTGAAATCTTCTATTTTTAAAGTGTAGATAAACATATTTTTCCACTTTTGAATCATTACTTCTGAATCCAAAGGCTGGCTGAGCAGCCTCTTCCTAAAGTAAAATGGTGTAGATTGACAAGTACAAAGACCTAATGAGGGATTTTGGTGAGTTTTGCCAGCTTTCAGGTTGGAAAAGAAGTAGTGGGACCCACTTCTTAGAGCTTGACTGAGTTTCTTGGACTTTCCCACTGTTCTGAGTATTGATCAGTCCAATGCAGGGGTGGGCAACTCCAGGCCTCGATTGCCAGTGTCCTGAAGGTTTTAGATCTCACCCTGGGTCAACACACCTGAATCAAATGATTAGTTCATTATCAGGCCTCTGGATAACTTCAAGACATGTTGAGGAGGTAATTCAGCAATTTGAATCAGCTGTGTTGGATCAAGGACACATCTAAAACCTGCAGGACAGCTGCACTGGAGACCTGGAGTTGTCTACTCCTGGTCCAATGAATGCAGCTGAATGCAGCAGAGCCTTTTAATGATGGCAGAGAGGAACAACCACTTGCAGTTAATTGTGATTGCCAGGGAGAGGCGAGAGCTCTTGACCTTGTTAAGACATTGTAGAACCAAGTGAAAAAAAAAAATCCAAACTAAAATTAAATTTCTGCAACTATCTTTAATGACTTTTTTAAAGTCATTAAAGATGTTTCCTGGAAAAAGTTCAAGTAGCTTAGCTTGCATAACATCATGATCATCCCTGTAAGAATTGGCTGCAAATGACAATGGTTCATGCCATAAATGTGACTTACATTTGGTGGAGTCTCGGTAATTGGGAATAGCACCTGGCTATTGCAAAGAACACCTATTGGCGTTTTGAGGCTATAACTGTTAATTGTGTGTTTGTGACTTTACTCTGTGGTATAATATGAAGCTGAATCCCAACATCTAAAAGGTATAATTTAGACTGACTGCTGAACTATTCATTTATAGTGTAAAGCAGTAGCGTCAGCTGTAAGCAATGCTAACGCTTCTATTAAGCAACGTAATAGCCTATAATTATTACTGTGTTTGTTCCCAAAGGTCCGATATGTGTCCGATTTCTTCAAGCAGCGCCCTCCAGTTTCTGAGCCGCAAACACCAGAGACTGAACAACTCGAATGTAAACCGAGGCCTTCAGATTCAGAACACAGAAATCACAGCTACAGCGGATCAGTATGAGCGCACCACCCTACAGCTACTCTCACCAGCCCGGCCCTCGCACTCTATAACAGCAGCTCCGTTATCAAAGAACGTGCACAGAAGAAAAAACAACGAAAGCAGCAGAGCACAGTCTGCTATTAGATCTCCCTAACACTTTCACAGCTATGAAAACTCCAGGGCCTCTATAAGTTTGTGTTTTTATGTTGCAAAGATGTGATTGAGTTGTTTTTTTTATGTTTTATAATGAGTGGGTTTTGTGTGAGTTCATTTTTTTTTTTTAATTTTCTTAATTATTTCTTGCAGAAAGATTCAGATTTGTCTGAGAAATTGATGCTGTGAGTCAAACTTAAGAGTGACTGACAGTTGAAGAGATCGGTCCAATTTCAATTCCAAAGATTTTGTTCTGCCCTTGAATGGAAGAACCGATCCTTGGAGGCTGAATAATATTATACACTTTGCTACAGTCTGATAAGACTGATGTTTTTTTTTAACCTACTCTCGAGCTCGACTGCCTCTGTGACACCCATTCGTTTTTTTGGTTTTTTTTCTACAGACATCTCTTTATTGTCTTTAAAAGATATGCAAGTGTAATTATGGAGTGCTTCCACTGACATAATATACATACAGGATGATTTGTAGCACTAACACTTTTTAAAAAAAAATTTCTATATCTAATAAATTGTGCAATTCATTATTTTTTTTTTTTCAAGAATGTATGACCACTAATTTACTGAAGTTATGGCGATATTGTTCCTTCTGTCACTTTTTCTCAGACTTGAAAGGGACGGCCAAGGACAAATGGAGATGTTCCTGAGGCATCTTCATCCTATAACCTTCCTCTTTTGATACAAAGTAAATACACCTTCATGGACTTTTTCCTTCCCCATTTATAACAACGTGTGTAACCTATTGTGAAACTGTACATAATGTAATCACTTTCTTCCTTTAGCCTTCAGGGTGTTTTACAGTTTTCCATAAATACTTGCCAGCATATTCACCTTCCGTGTGTGATTATTTTATCAGCATGAAGAAAGACATGCAAAGCAGTCTTTTGTGTGGATTCCCACAGAGAGAATGCCTTCTTTTTAGTTATTTCCATTGAGCTATTCTCTGCTGCGTTCTTAGTGAAAGCTCTGTACAACACAGTGACGCAGGGTTCAAGTCAGAACCTGCAGCTCACAGCCCTTTCTACCAGAGGAATCAGAGGAATGAAGCTGGTGAGCCAGTGCATGAAACAGGAAGTTGTTTGGGGTTTTTCCCCCCTTTGTTAGCAATTATTCATAAATTGTCATAAGCAAAGAATCTTTATTACAAAACCATGTTTAGCGTCATTTCAGCTAAATTGTACAAAAGGTTCCCACTTGCCCTTAGAAGGTAGTCTGATAGTTTTGATTTCATTATCCCGGCTGAGCCGTTATGATTTACATCCATGCCAGTACACTGTAAATTAGATTTATGGTGCACAGTAATTAAAAATCCACAAATATTTCTCCAGAGACAGGTTAGGCTACAAAATATGCTAAATCTACTTGTTCACTCAAATGCTGCTTTGAAGAGATTTGGGGGATTCTGATTAGAAACAAAAATCAGTTGTTTGGCATCAAACTCAGAAATGGCTCAACTACAGCTACGGGGGTACTAAGTCTGGATGGAGATGTTGCAGATTAACTTTCTAATACATTGTCTAAGTAGCTTGGAAAGAAAAAAAAAAGCATCTGGACTTCTTTAAGTTGTTTGAAGACGTTTCACTTCTCATCTGAGAAGCTTCTTCAGTTCTAAGGTCAAATGGTGATGAGTCCCAGATTTAAGCCCTATGGGAGTGTCCCCCCAAGAGGGACATGGACCCCCTATTGATCCTCTACCTAATCACACGAGCCAAGGTGTGAAAACGGGTGTAGGTCACCATCAGCCAAGGTTTCAGATGAACTCATTGTGAAACCTAGCCCCACCCTATCATGTGATTTCCTGAGTTCAAAGGACTCTTGTTTTATGGATTTCAAGTCTATTATAATTGAATCATTCGCTCTTTTATACAACCAGCAACAAAAGCATTTCTTTTCTGTTTAATTCATTTTAACTTCAGGGAAAATGTTCACTTGGTCTGCTAGGCAAGAAGTTTCGGCAGCTTGCTCGTCTGGAGCATTCAGGTCCTGCCGCAATCTTCCCAGAAGCGGATGTTCCCACAAATTCATCCCAAGAGAAACTGACAAAAATAAATTTAAAAAAGCCCAAGTGCTACATCAATATCAATAGGCCTCAGTTAGGATGGAAAATGTTAACGTTCATGGTAATAATGGGTGATGATTTGGGCAGTAAGAAAAAGACAAAGATTACTTGTTTAAAAGGGTTGCCAGGAGAAACATGGCAACACAGCTTACGTTTGCAAAACTGCATCTGAAGAAACCACAAAACTTCTGGAAAAGGGATACCAAAGTCTTCTACCAGAATGCAGAGTACAAACTGTCAAGCATGGTGGTGGAGGCCTGTGATCTGGGCTTGTTGAACTACTCTGTACAACAAAGTATTCTAGAGTTAAGAGGCCATATGTCCAACAACTAAAGTTTACCTGAAATTGGGTCGTGAATGACCCCGAGCCAGGTTTGCTGTTAAAAGATGGTATAAAAGCTATTGAATCATGGGGTGTCCTGTGAAAACTTTCCCCACAAAGCTATAATTTGTGTTTTTCCTTCAAATAAGGAGGATCAGACTAACAGCACTGAACCATTTCAACAACTTTTCACATGAGAAATATTGATTAGACCAGCGTCAATCTGACCTGGTCAGTTATACCTCGACTCATCCAAGAGGAATTTTTAGTTGAGACACTCCTCAAAACGCCAACATGTATCTCAGTGGACTGGGAGTACAAAACACTCATGCTTCAAATATTCCATCAAGCTGCAGAGGAGTTGACTATCAAGCAAAAAACAAATGTTTCATTTCAGCGCTGACTTAATATGTATCAGCGCGATAACGACATAACGATAACGATAGCGATGCCCTTTACTGTTTTTCCCTTTCCATGTGCGATGCCACCAGAAGAAAAATGACCACTCTCAATCACATCTTTTATTTGTAAGGCACCAGAGACGCTTCCTTACTGCTAAAAGGTTGATTCATTCTCAGAGTACACAGTTGCTTGTTTACATCTTTTTTTTTTTTGTTTGTTTTTTTGTCCCGGGTATTTTGAAATGAGACTGTGTTTGTAGACACATTTAACAGTTTTTCATTTGCACAGAAAAAAAAAAGGAGAAAACATTTACAAATCTAGAAAACAAAGTTAAGTGTTACAGCCTACTGAGAGAGAATGAATGGAAGAGAAAACAGGAGAAAAAGAAAAGACAGGATATACAACATTGTGCCTCTCGTAGCGTAGGCTTGTAATGCACGCGTACAACAACGAAGTCCTCCATGATACACACACATTAAAAAGCAGCTTTGAAACATACAAAAATGCTTTAAAAAATATGTATATTGATATATTCATATGTATACAAATTGGCCCTTCACAGCAAAACAAACACACATACCATTCACATGTCTGAGTTTTGCCAAGGGAGGATTTCTACAGAGGCTGACGTCAGTATAAAGAGTGCTAATGATTAAATGATCTGTTCTCGCACTCAATATATTGAAGTCAGATCTCCAGGGAGGGAGATACTCCAGCTCCCCAACACTTGCACAGACAGGAAGAAGAAAAACAAAAGGAGCAGTGAGCCACAACTTAAGTGCTTTTCAAATTAAAACAGAGGGAAAAGGGTTATGCTTGGACATTAAAAGCTGGGTTATCAAAGCTCTGGAAAGCACTCACATTACAGGGGAGGGACAGCTGACACACCTGCAGTGTACCTGTGGTCAGCATACAATCATAAAAACGAAAAGAGAGGAAAACAATAATGTGACTGAATACGACAGATAAACCTGGGGCTGTTTCCATGCTTTTTATAACCCATAACAAATCACTGGAAGAGCACTGCTGCCCTCTGCTGCCTAAAAAAATGAACATTTCTCAGCCATAAACTTGAGCTGTTCACCAGTTTCATACCACATACCAACTGCAAACATTATGCATACAAGTTTTGATATATAAGATCACAAAAATGGGAAATTATCAACACGCATATAACCTCCTGGGTAGCATTTTCGAAAACGGTCATCTTCATTTTCTTAGATGTCACTTGAATCATTTCCCTATTATTATCGGTTAAAGTTGAAAACATCTGTGAGCAGCTGCTCCTTTTCAGATATAACAACATAAAAATCCAACAGTCCGCTTTCTGCTTTTACTTCTGGGCCTGAATCTGCACTACTAAACTAGCAGGTTTGGAGTTGTTGAGTGTGCGTAGCCTGGATCGTATTTACTAAAGATTAATTTTACTGTTATTGTTTAACACTGATCAACTTTTAGTCTAATGTGGCTAAACTACCAAAGAATGCCGAACTGCCGAAAATGCTGAACTGCTGCTCTTTAACACTGCAGATCCAATTCATTTTAATCATGCTTCTTTGATATCTTAATAATCTATATTAATGAATGAGTCAAACGGTTAATTGCTATTTGTACATAACATCCTTATTTATATTACAGATGATAAAGCTATTTAAAGCTATACTGCTCAACTTATCTTTATTATTATTAATATTAATATTAATGAAAGTGAATTACAGCTCTGTTCAATAATCACATTTGTCAGAATTCAAACAAAACTGGGAGGAAATGACTGTCCAACAACAAGAAATTATACGTGGGAGCTGATCACAGGTAGAAAAAGCCGAAAACAAAATCTCGCCACATCTCCATGATGGTAACAAAGCTAAAAGAAGTCACTCTCATTAATACAAAAACAGCATATTTAATTTTTTTGCACATTACCTACATGAAAAGCTTGCTACCCATAATGTATAATGAAGACAGTAAGTATGTGGTTGGAATACAGCTCGTGTTTCAAAATGCTGAGAATGTCAGGTTCGTGTAGTCACAGATAAAAAGAAAGGTGGTACTTAACGCAATCTCAGCTAAAACTAAAAAGCTCTGCTAACCTATAAAAACACAACGCTTGGCTATATGTCAAAACCACACTGTTTTAACATTTAGATCCTATTTTGGGATCAATTTTGTGGACCTGCAGGGGGAAAGGACAGGAACAAGGGGGGGGGGGACACAAAAGGTGCTTAAAAGTAAAGTTAAAGCGTTTTCTTCTTTCCAATCACATTCACTCTAACACACAGGAATCTTTATGGTTTTATAAGAACCTGCCTCAGTTTACAAAAACAAGATGAGTTGGGGGGTTTTTCAGAGCATCTATTCTTATCATTTAAAGACGCGGGGTCCATGATCTTATGTCAATGGTCCACATCCCATGTGGAGCTCACAGGAGCAGCTAGGCCTACCTACCACATATTAACTTCCAAGCTGGCTACTTTACCATTTGTACAAACTAAAGATATTTCTGAAATTAAGAAAAAAAACTTGATTTATGTGGGACTAATGCACACAGCTCTGGTAATGCATCCAACGGTTGGGAATAATGAAGAACATAACACTTAACAGAGTAAATTAATGGAATTACTGACAAAACTGCTCCAGTTAACGTTTTGGAAAAAGATGATTTCATTTTAGCAAGTCGTGAGCAACAGTGAAGCAGTATGTGGGGAGTGGAGTTGTTAAAACTGCTTTTTATGACTGGCAGACTGCATTGAGACTCAATCAGAGGGACTACAGAGGACATGGAAATAAACACTAAACAGATCTGATAACAAAAAGATGGAAGAGAAAATAAATCTGACGGTTATCTACCAGGGTACTGCTATTGTGTTTCTTTCTTAGCTCTCTCTCCAAATGGGAAAACATTTATCTTGATTAAGCCTAACAACTGCGGCTTGAACAAATTTTTTTTTTTAAAAACCCCACACATCTATTAAAGTCTAGAAGCCTGAACCAAGTCTATTACCACTAAATAATAAGAACATTTACTCTCAGCCATTCAGGAGTTTCATCTTCAGCACTTACAAAAGTTTGAGCTCGGTCCTTTTGCTAATCATCCTTGCAATTACTCTTCTACATTGACACTCAGTAGACAGGCCTCCAGACACCCTTTCCTTTTTTTGTGACATTTATTACACCCCATACCATTCCTCTCCAAACCTCCTCGCTCTTTCTGCACTAGTCTGACTTGTCTCCATCGTCCCCTCTAGGTGCTCTCTCTGCGACATCTCTGGCCTTGTCCTCCTTCGCTACCGGGGGCTGGCCGTGGGAGTAGTTGGCCAGGATGGAGGAGAGGGACAGCAGGCCGGAGCTGGAGGAGACGGCGGGCAGAGTGGGTGGGGTGAGGCCCAGGGGAAGCGGGGCTACTGGCAAAGCCAGGCCCTGAAGCTGGGACAGGTGTTGCACCTGAAGCTGTTGCTGCAAACACAACACATTAGATAATATAAGTTTACCATCTGTAAAAAAAAAAAAAAAAAAAAAAAAAAAAAAAAAAAAAAGAAGTGTGAACACTATAAAACTAGTGTGATCAGTTATCACACTTGCAGCACGAACTCCAAGCACGCAGGACTGTGGTGATCATTATGCTAAAGAAACCCAACGTGGCATTTTATCTCTGTTTCATATCCTTTTCCAAATTTGCAGAAGCCAAACCACACCATCTATTCTCTTGCTATTAATACGGTTAAACAGAAGTGACACAAAACAACAATGTGGTAAATGTTGTTCGCACAGCCAATAGAAACCTGACAATTAGAAATAAGCGTTCACAGACAAATTTCCATCAATGAGGGAGCAAAACGGGCCCATCCCCAGTCATAATTACCTAACCAGCATGCTACGAAGCAACATCTGGTGGACATTAAAAAAGACAAACTCACACGTATGATGGAGTTCATCTCAGGAGGTGTGACCTGCTTGGCTCTTTCAATAGCGCCCATGACTTGTTGTTGATGCTAAAACAAAGATCACAAGTTCAGAGACAAATATGCACAAGAAAAGCTTGGACAAAAACAGTCAGGCACGTAAGATTTCCTCTTTAAGTAAAAAAAAAAAAAAAGAAAACTTTCTCATCAATATTATGAGAACATACACTCATCGACCACTTTGTTCCACACACTAGTTCAACTGCTTGCTAACACAGCCAATCACAAGGCAGCATTGGGATTTAGTTATGTAGATATGACCAAGACAACCTGCTCGAGTTCAAACTGAGCATCACATAGAGGAAAAAAGGCGACTTAAGTCGTGATTGTCGGTCTGAGTATTTCAAAAACTGCTGATCTACTGGGATTCTCCCAAACAATCGTCTCTAGGGTTTACGGAGAATGTTGGGAAAAAGAGAAAATATCTAGTGAGCAGCAGTTCTCTGGGCCAAAATGCCTTGTTGATGACAGAGAAGAATAACCAGACTGTTTCCAGATGGGTCCAATCTGGTACTCTCAACGTGTACCCAATAAAAGGGCCAGTGGGTGTAAAGTTTAAGTAAAAGGTGAATCATTACCTCCTGTGACAGGTAAGGCAGCACCTGAGCACAGATCCCATTTAGTCTCTTCACTATTTCAGCCTACAAAAGAAAAAGAAGAAAAACAAAAATGGTCAGACCAACACACAAAGAAAGCCGGGTTACTAGACGGATGGATGAATGAAGACGATGATTACCTGTTTGTGCATTTCAATGTTCAGCCCGTAGGACATTTCATAGTACTACAGTGCACAGAGGATGACAAGTAAAAGATTTAGAACACACCTACACAAAGACACGCGCGCACACACAACAACCCTTTTTGATTAATTACTCTCTCTTTCATGTATGTATTTTATACTCTATTTTGAGATGTGTAGTCATTTTTTTATCTGTGCCTCATCATGCTGTGAGTAAACCTGAGGATTTCTGTGTATCTATTGCGACACTATGAGACTGTGATGGGAGATTTAAAAACTAAATACGCAGCATACCACAGAAATGAGTTACCACACTTACCATGATATAGTGACGCTGCATCTCTGACTTTTCAGAAGCCAGCTTATCGCACTCCAGCTTCAAACTGGGTAAGAAGTATAGAAATATAATATGAGAAAGAGCAGCTCGAAAGCAAATGTACGTATTCATCCTGTTTGGGGATAACTGCACTTTGGGGGAATTATACTAATTCCACAACTTGTCTTGTTTACTCTGAGCTAAGCTGACAGCCTGCTGGCTTAAGCTTCATGTTTAGAATACAGACATGAGAATTATATCAATCCTCTCATCTACTTTCCAGCAAAAAAAGGGCATTCAGCATTTACTGTAATATGAAACCACTTGTTTAAATAACCTTACAATAATAAAATGAACATTCCTTAAATATATTTTATTTACTGGATACCCATATCTAGGACAAATTCATTTTGTTTCACCAAAATCTAGAAGGAGCAGCGGTTCTGAAAACAGAAACATGCCTATAAAATGACAAAAATGACTTTGAGGATAGTTTGAGTGAAGAAAGTAAGTTCACTAAAAGCTGACTGACATCACAGGAGGTGAGGAAAGTCCAGCTCAAAATGAAATGCATTTCTGAATAATTAGCTGCCTTAAATAAGGCCATTTCACAAAAGACAGTAACAACAAAACACTGCAGGAAGAAAGTGTGTGACTTATATTAGAGATTAAATTAGGTGTGTATGGATGTGTTAAATGAATACCTGTGGTACTGTGCTTGGAGGAACTGGAACTCATCTTTGATGCGGTCACAGGAATCAGAGGTGGTGAACTTGAGAGGTTGGCTGGACTGAGAGGATGCCTAAGAAACACAACAAGGTATCTGGTTGATTTTCAGCTTCGAGAAGGCGACTTAGAAATTCTAAGAAAAAAAAGCTATCATCATCCTTTACATGAACATATGAGAGCTCCCTGCTGCAGAGCATGTGTGTTTTAATAAAGGTTTGTTTGAAAGCAGCAGTTTGACCTTGCAGATTAACCCTTTGAGAGGATAGCTAAAAGAAAGCTCAGACTCAGCCATACCACGTACACACAGACATGCATCCTACGATGTACACATGTCTGTGTGCACATCATAAAATGAGATAAAGAAAGCAGCCGGGTGTTTGATTAACAGCACACAACTGTGAATTGTCTACAGACAGTCACGGCTGTCTTAAAGGTACGGATATGAAACATCTGTCTGGGCCACAAAGTGTGTTGATTGAGGAAATGTGTTTACAGAAGTGTGTCCATGCTGACCATATGTGAGAGGTATTTAGAGGCTGCATTAGAAGTCCGGTTATGTATAGACTACACTTAAACCAACAGTCCAAAGCTGTAATCCATGGTTTATCTGGTTCTCTAAACCTCATTACTCTCTAAATAAGTGGCACAAGAGCAAGAGGTTTCCAGCCGGATTATGGGATTGAAGAGAGAGGCCCGATGCAGCCGGTTACATGGAGATCCCAGAAATCACAACTCTGCACGAATGCGACCAGTTTCAGGTGTGCAAAAATGAAGTGATGAAACTGGCTAGATTGGAAATGGGTGAACCTGCAGCTCAACCTGTAGACATGAAACAATTAGTCAATTCACTGATTGAGCTACATTTTTTTGAATTTGAAAAAAAATGGAAAAGCTCCAAACGTATGAGAATGTGTAACGGTAATTGAAGGAATTGCTAGGTGGGTCTGGAGAAGTAAAACAGAAGCACAGCATGCAAGTTGTTCCATGGTCACGTTCAGAGAGGAAAGACATATGACACAGCCCACCCCCCTCAGAAAGAGGAACAGCAAAGAGCAGTCACATGTTGAAACTAGCCAACAATCATGCACATGTTCTTTTTTTTGAACAGAACTTGGCATATAAACATATATGAGGCTGTGTGACAGCTTTCTTAATTTGTACTTGTTTCACATTCACTAATAGCTATTGCTAACTATTAGTGAAAGTAGACACATCTGTCTACATTTAATATACCATTAAAAATATAGTTGACTAAAATGATTTGAAACTAACTGAATTTAGATTTTGTTTAAACAAAAATGCCAGACACACTCTGGTTTGAGTTTCTCCAGTATCTTTGTTTTTAAATAAAATCTGCTCCCACCTGATTTTTTTTTTTACAGTAACTTAAGCATATTTAATGAATTGGTGCATAATTTTACATTCATACTATGAATATTTTCAGACAATCGTGTACATGTACAATATCAAAGTACATAGGAGCATTTGAGCCCTGAGAACCTCCGAAGTACTCAGAAGCTTTGGAGCCTTCAGTGCTTGTCTAAGAATTTCTCTTTTTCATAATGCCAAGCCCTTATCTGTCGACCTGCTTCTATTATCAGACCGCGAACAACAGCAATGACTGAAGATCTTAGTATCGGATACTTGTCATTTCTACAGGGCCAGGACAATGACTGGCAAAGAAATGTCTAGATGAATATCTTCATTCTCTTCTTTTCTAAAACTGTGCATCATAATAGGCAGTGGTCACATACTGACCAGTGATACCTTTAACATTGCTGCTGTTTACGCAATAATGTTGCTCATGTGGACAATGGCTGTACATTCTTTTCAGCATTTCAGCTTTCATGTACTTCAGACGTTATGGGGGCTTAAAAGTGCCTTAAAATTATAACTTATTGCAACCAATCTGTACGCACTTCAGGGGATTTAACTCAGAAAATATCGAGAGTATGAAAGTAAGATTTTGCATGGCTTCAATTGAGGTTATTGAACAAACACAGGCACACAAAATCAGCTGATCCTGAGGAGGGTCAGGTGGGACATATTTTTTTGTAAGAGTCTGACTCTACACAACAAGTAATGTGCCATTTGATCTAGAAAATAATCAGTACATTTGTAAATAATTACACTTTTATGTACTCACACATTTATGCACTTATTGTTACACATTATTATACTAATACTAGCAATTGATCGTTTTAAATTAAAGTGTTAATTCCCCAAAGTCGCCAATAAACAAAGTCCTATAATAGTTAACAAATGTTCAGTGAAAACCTGCCCTATTTTTGCAACATTTAAAGTATATTTTCTCAAAATGAATGCATGCTTAAACGTGCGTTGTGGTTTGCTGCAAGTAGCAAAAGGGGTGTTAAACCGTCTAAACAACGCACAACATCACTCCAACTTTCTCGGTCTTAAGAGAAGCTAGCTAACGATAGACTGTGTCTGCACATAAGTGAGCCGTATAGCTCGCCGTTTGTTCGAGGTAAAGAGCTAAGCTGCCACAGTGCCTGCTCTGTGACGATGACAGCTACCTGCAGGAAGCAGCGATATGTATCAGCTGTGTGTTGCTAGCTAGCGTTAGCTCAGTTTCCACCCGGGGAGAAGTTCAACCGGCCAACTTACCGAGTGCCTCGATTGAGGAAACATCATGTCAGCAGTGTGTTTCGCCGCCTTTCCTCTGTCTAATCGAACTACCAGGCTAGCTGGCTAAGCTAACGTTTCCCCAGATGTTATTAAATGACTGGAGACGCTATTCGCACTTTGTACTCTGTCATCCTTTAAAATAACGTTAGCTAACGTCAAAGCAGCAGGAGCCTTAGGTCGCCTTCTAGTCTTTGAAGTAGAAAAAAACCCCGATACTTCCGAGGAGTAATTTGTTAACAAAAATAAAAGGTTCTTCAAAGCAACATCAGGCGTTTTTGAGTTTTGTTTTGCTTTTCTTTATTTGGAATAACGCTAATGCTATTCCTCCCCGGGGAAACCCTGGATGTTGACACATGAGCCCCTGACTTTCCTCGGCTTTGAAGAGAAGAGCAGCATCACGCGGAAAACAAAGTGAGCCGCGGAGGAGCGGGCGCCCCGTGTGACACAGAGCTGAACTGACCGGCTCGTGGCTGCAGCCAGGGCCGGAGACAGGGGGGCTGGGGCCGGAAAATAAGGTCTCAGAGCCGGGACTGGACTACTAAAAGGGCTCCCTAAAAGTCCCAATTTGTCTATGTTTGTGTCAATAGATTTTTTTTTAAATTAAATTATTTTTTAAAGAAACATTTGTGCTGAAATGTAGCATCTACAAAGTTGTTTTTATTTCATCTGCAAAATGTACAGTCCTATACAAAGTCTTGATCCCATCTAACTCCTACGAGGATATATACATGTCAAACTGTGACGTGACATTTCTGGCATGCTTCATTCAACTAAATGAATATGAACAAATTGTGTTTTTGTGAAAGGCTGTGAGTAGCAAAGAAAATTTTGGACTTTGTACTAGGAAAACATCCTTACTGAGGAGAGCTATGTGTAATGCTACGGCCTATGGCCTATGAATAAAAATGTCTGTATTCCTAAACAGTTTTACCGAGTGTCTTGAGTTAAAGTTGAAAGTTTCCACTTTAATCACATCTTGACTGTATGATCCACTTCGTTGGTGGTGTACAGGGGCAAAATTACAAATCATCTGCTACTTTTCAAATACCTAAAGACATAACTGTATTTAAAAAATGCAAAATGTTTTTCTGAAGATGGAATGAAGCCTTTGGTTTATATCTGCAGCAGCTTTACTGCGACTACAGGTGGAATCCCATCTATCCCACCTTCCTCCCATTGGTCCTCAGGATTTTAACACAAGTTCTATGGCTGCATGGACAGTCCCTCTGGAGGCCTTTCACTGTGCACAGACTTCCTTAATATTACGCTGAACAGCTTTTGGCATCTTACAATGAAATCAGAATATGACATAGGAAGGTTTAACAAAAGAAAAAAGAAACCACAAAGGTTTTAAAATCTAGAAAAAGTGAATGTGGTCATTTCACTGTCCAACATAAAATGTTCATTTTCATCCTAAAGAATAAATGAAGACATCTAAACTGGGATTTCTGCTACTACACTGTACAGGTTCCAGACTTAAAACATATAGAAAATCTGTAGAGAGAGTTGAAGCATCAAGTTGCCTTACAGCAGCTAAGAAAGCTAAAGGATTTAGAGTTTTTGTAAAGTCTCTCAGGTTTGCACACATCTCTCTTGGGTGTTTGGAGGAAGAGCTCTCACTTGACATGTGTGCAAACCTCGTGAACAGCTACAAGAAAAGTCTTACCGCGGTACTTGTCAACAAGGGTTTTTCCACCAAGTACTAAGTTACGTTTTGCTTTGTTTTTCCCTGAAAATTTGTAGGCAACTAAAGCCACAACATTACTGTAACATCAGGCTGAATGATTTAACTCAGCGGTCACTGTTAGAATGTTACATTATTAGTTACATGTGACAAAGCCACTTTGCTGCCACAGTAACACACTTGCACATCATGAGGAAAATATTAATCAGCTGACCTGTCTAGTAGTAGTTGTGGCTTTTCCAAGTATGACATGGGTTTTCTCTTCTAAACCTTACATGTTAACATTGGGATGGTCTTCCTACAGGGAAGTCTTCAGTTGAATCAAGCTGAACATCTATCTTCTTTATCATCATCGTCTTCTAGGGATGCACAGTCCCTAAAAACCTGTGACTGGTCAAAGACCCCAGGCAGGAAACCCATGTACCTATAATCCTGGGTAATAGTCTGGGTTCAAGTTTGTGACACTCACCTTCTCACGATCCCATTTAACCTACATAGTCTTGTCTAACAAAGCCTAATATGCCCCCAAAAATTAAGTAAGGAAGAAAAACGAACCCAGGTCAAGCTCTTTCAGATCTCAAATAAATACTGACTACCCCGGCTTTAACCATCAACTTGACATTACCAATAAGAATTAGATTTTTATTCAACTGAAGATATAAAATCCACGCAACACATCATCAGCAAGTATAGGAACAAATTTATTTCAATTTAAAACAGATACCTTGTCATTATGTTTCTCTCTTAGAAGGCGGCAATGATCATAAGTCATGTTCATGTTTGAATGAGGATCAGGCAACAGTGGTTGAAACAAATACATGAAACACATAAAAAAAAAAAAAATATGGCAAGAGTTATGTAAATCAATAAATTGATAATAACCAACTGATTGAAACCCCTTCGTAAAAGGGCTCTGCTTCAGTGAAAACATCCAAGTCCTCACTTCCAACACAAAATAAACAGCACATGCAATTATAATTACAGTTTCTTAGAAAACAGCAGATTATCTCCTAAATCTTCGATCTTAAATACAGAATAAAGTCTTCGTGTGTACTTAAATCATGGAGTCATTAGTCTCTGGTGTGTTTTATTTAAAAAGGGGGACCATCTCGGGTGGTGGCCCTTTTGATAAATGACCACAGCGTTGGCACTTGGAGAGAGAGCCTGGCTCTAGAGAGAGTGGGGTTGGCACACTCAGTATAATACATAATTTACATTTGGTTTACATACAAAATAAAGAGAGAAAGAAAAAAAACAAACAAAAAAAACAAAACAGCATTTTATACACACCACTACACAATTGACCTTCAGGTTTCACTGGAGTGAGGGAAATTAAATCAAGTGGTCCTAAAATAGTGTTCTGGTAATGTCTTATCATACAGAGAAAGAGGAAGAAAAAAAAATAAATCACCAAAAAAGAAAAAAAAAAAAAGGGAGGGGGAAACATTTGAGTATGCACCAACTTCACACTGATGTCCAAAAGATACGTTTGATGCCCCTTAGTCCAACAACGAGCCGATGGGAAGGGGGCGCCACACAACCCTGATCGCCCAAACGTGGCAAAAGGAAAACCGCACAGGGCCAGGTTTACCATCTCTTGTTAGTCAAGGCAATGAAAGGCAATAAATAAGTGTTGTAGTGAAAACACAGTCTTTTTTTGTTTTAACAAGTTAATGCTAAAGACAGGATAATTATTTATCATAACAACTGCCTTCCCCCTTTCCCGCTCATATGTTGAGACAAAAATGTGTCACAAAAATAACATGCTGTGCAACGCTGGCCTGCTAACAAGCTAACAAACCCACACCGACAGCCACGCGGCCCTTCGCCATGTGCCAGAGTTGAAGAGTCAAGTTTGAAATGTTTCGTCACCAATAAAGTGAGCTGCACTCCACACACAGTAAATAATAACACAACTACTGATAAATACTTGGGGATTTATACAGATTTAGTCATCCCACTTCATTTCCTCCTTAAGACAGCAGACCAAATAGTTGGCTGTCACCACAAAAGCAGGGTCATTTTCAGCAGACAGAAATGGCCATTAAGAACCACACTGGTGTTTTCTTTTTTCTTTAAATATATATGTATACATTAATGTTCAGACATTATTTCACCACTTAGCACTTTTGAAGCATACCTACATTTTAAGTTGAACTACTGACTTGTGTAGCCTTTGGTTTCCGCTCATTTAAAAGAAAAAAAGAAAGAAAGAAAGAAAAGAAAACAAACAAGTCACTTCAGAGAAACTGTAAATTTCTACACACCTCTGCTCTTGGATAGTGGATGAGGATTTCAAGAAACTTAAATGTTAAGGGGCTTTAAAAAAAAAGGTCCCACTTCTCAGGGAATATTTAGTGTTGTCTATGTAATTACGTGATAACGCAGCCGAGTCTGACAATGCGGAAAAGTTGCCCAAGTTTATGTGCCCAAGTCCATGATTTAAGAGGTAGCTATCACACGGCAACAACTTCTACGCAAAGAAAGGCCGAATTCAGAGCAAATCAGACCCCTCTACTAGCTTCAGCTGACAGTAATGGCTGCCTAGAAAATCAGCATCTAAATGTGGACAATATGCACACACACACACACACACACACTAAAAGAAATTCCTGGCTATCATCTATAGCTCAATAGCTCAAATACTCTGGAAAACACACAATACTTGTCCTGGTAGTAGTGTCTTTACTGATAAGTGTTTCTATACTGCACAGGGCGTCACAGGTAACTCTGCGATACCAATGCAAACAAAACGTAGTGAAGATCAGGTTGGCCGTAGGGCCCGATACTTAAATGCATTAAGAAAACTGCTTAGTGGTGGTAAACTCTCTACACACACAAACACCCTGCCTATACTTCTTAAAGCACATACTGCAAGTAATCTCCATTTATAAACACATTAGTATTGGATGACTTGGTTCACTGTGGTCCTGTACTCCACTCCCCACTGTCTGATGCCTTATGCACTGTGATAGCCCTTAATGAGGATGAAGGGTAAGTCACCTGTAGAAAAAGTCAAAGACACTGGAAGGGAAAAAAAAGGAGGTATATCCATACTTCACTGGCACTACTCAAGAGCCAGACGCCCCCCCCCAAAAAAAAAAAAAAAAAAATCCAACTATGTTCATACTGTACATTTTCTTAGGTATTCATTACAGCACTGCATCTATAAACAGAGAAAAATATGAATTAAAAAAAAAAATTTAAATGTGAGGGCTCCTAAAGAAAAACAGTTTCATCATGAATGGAGATGTCATCGCAAGTACAACTGGAAATGTCTCAATAAGAAAGAGAAAGCAGAAATAAGATCCTTACTATACCAGACATTCATTTTTACAGCAGTTCAGACTCAAGTTAGGCTCCGCCAGGAGAGGAAAAACAAAACTAAACCCAAAAAGGAGCCTTTAAACTCAACAAAATCGAAAGCAGTCAAATTATCAACACCTTCAAACCTGGTCCATAAATTATATAAATAAAAAAAAAAAAATCTTTAATTACTTTTAAAATTATCTTGTCCCCATACTGTGAATATTCTTTTTTAAACCAGCCCTAGTTAGAATAACTCTGGAGACAGAGCTAATGCAGTAGTGAGGTGTTCTGAGGCTGGTTGGGAGTAAATCCCCCTTTCTTGCTCCCTTGCCGCTTGTTTCCTAAACACCAATCAGCTGCGTGTAGTCCTATTAATCAAGTGAACAAAAATCCATAATCACAGTATCAATACTACCATAAATTCATAGGAAAAACACAAAAGAAAAATATGTATGCTAATACTTTTTTTTGTACGTTTGTTTTTTTTTTGGCCAAAGATGGTGTACCACAGAGCGTTTCTGTACAGGAGTGTTTTGTGTATATGTATTTACAAACAGATATACACAAACATTTGCAGACTTTAGAGTGTTTTCTGTGAAAGGTTCATAACCACCCCTTCCTCTAAATCACTCAACATTAAGCAATCTTTTTTTTTCTTTTTATAAACAAAGTGACTATACAGTTAAAAAAAACAAAACAAAACAAATTAAGGAAAGTAAACAGAAGCACCTCCCGTTATAGGAAGTGTGTCTGATTGGACGGCTGAGTGACGTCATCAGATGTTACCGCATGGATTCTACTCGTGCCTTAGAGTGCGGGCACTGCAGCTTTTTTTGTTTTTGTGGAATTAAGCTACTCGCAGCAGCTGCAGATGTGCTCTGAACACTGATGACATCAGCTCCCCTCCGCATCCGCTTCCACCAATCAGAGCAGAGCCTCATTGAAAGCAGCTGTCCTCTCACCCGCTACTTAGTGTTTCATAATGGGGCATTGGGTGTGTACCAGTGGAGCCAGATTCACTGATGATACTTTGGAAGATTGTTCCTGTGAATCCATATAGATAACATCTGGAGGAGGGAAGCATGTGATCAACTTAAACATAAAAAAGAAAAAGAAGATCTTAAAACGATACCTATTGTCAAGTAAATTTCTGGTTGCTTCTTTAAATTTTTTTTTGTCGCCTTGCAAAATTTTCTTACAACCACTCCATTTAATCATACTTGTTAAATACATTAAAAAGTGTTTTTTTAAAAATCTCAGCAATTAACAGATTTTGATTAGCCATCTCCTGCTCCCTGACCCCCTCCCCCCTTTAAGTGTTTACATATGCATTTACTTCATAATATATTTTTTTTCTATTTTTTCTGATTGCGATGCTCACACTGGTGGGTACATTCATAGACGCAAGATGGAGACAGAATCCTCAGTCCCGTCCCCACCGAGTCGCTCTGAAGTATCTCTCAGGTCCTCGGATGGTGTCAGAAAATATGGAACTCTGTTAATTCCACACTGGCAGGAGCGTGGAAAGGAGACGACGGAGGATCTGCTCTCGCACCGCTGAAGGTAAACTCCGAAGGGCCAGGGGGTATGATGCCGCTATTCACCGAAACACAGATCCTCTCTAATCAATGATGCCCCCAATACACAAACACACACACACACACACACACACACACACCAAAATCCCCTCCAGTCACTGTATAGCTCGTGTGAACGGTTTGTGTGCCAGAGCCAGCAGCCGGGGCCAAATCCACACCCACACACACAGAGCAGCTTTGGGAGGACTGAAGACTAACACAGCAAGCTGCCGAGAGGAGGAGGAAGAGGCTTTGGTGAAAGAAGAGGGGCAACGTCTGCAGGTGGGAGGATCTGTGGGTTCACTGTACTGGGAGAAAGAAGAAGAAGAAAAAAAAAAAAAACGGTTCTGTTGGGGGAGGGATTGTGTGCGCGTGCATGCGTGCACATCTGCGGCTGTGTGTGTTTGTGTATGTGAGCTGGAGTGATGTGCTGTGTAATGCATGTGGAGCTGACGGCACATTCCTAAAGAGGTGTGCATTTGTGCAGTGGGGGAGGAGATGTGCGTCGCATTTGAGCCCTCACACCAGGTTGTACTCTTTGAGATTGAGCTGTAGGATGGTGTCTTTGACAGCTGCAAACACAAAGCGGATGTTCTCAGTGTCCGTGGCACAAGTGAAGTGAGAATAGATGATCTTGTCGCTGTCTGGGTTTAAGTCCACAAACATCTTGAGGATGAACTCCCGCGCCGCCTGTGCATCTCTCTGGGGACCTAAAATGCAGAAATGGGTGAGGATGTGCGAGTGTGCATTGTACTTCAAGTCACCTTCACAACTTCGGTCCCCACTAAGGAAACGTTGCTTCGAACTGATTTGTGGATTAGCTCAGCTGAGTCAAACCCAGTTTTACTAACACCACACTGGCACATATGTTGCTGACAGAATAACCAACACAGTGCACATCTTTAAATCCCTCATCTGAATATCAATCGAAAGCGATGATATTGTGACAAGTCTGATTTCTAGCAGAAACCAAACGTACATGTTAATCACTCAACACAAACACGTAGATGATCTCACCATCAAACTCGGGAAAGTAGTCCACCAAGTGCGAGTAGGTGATCTTCTCCTCTAGCAGGTCTTTCTTATTAAGGAAGAGGATGACAGAGGAGTTTTGAAACCAGGGGTAGGTAATGATAGTCCTGAACAGAGCCTTACTCTCTTCCATGCGGTTCTGATGAGAACAGTGTGGAGCAGAAACAGAATGTTAATTTGGCGTCGATATTGAAGTCATCTTCAGACTAAAATATCCAAAATACTCTAAATACAAACCATTTGTCGCACTTACCTCATTGTCTGACTCCACCAGGACCTGATCATACTCACTCAGCGCCACAAGAAACATAATGGAAGTGACATTCTCAAAGCAGTGAATCCACTTCCTCCTCTCTGACCTCTGGCCCCCTACATCTACCATCCTGATGGCAGGATGAAGGCGAAGGAGGATAAAAAGTGAAAAAAAGAAGGGGGGAAAAATAAATTAGCATGCAAGTTTGGGTGGCCTAGTTTATGGTAAGTGATTAATGGAACTAAAAGAGTGCTTAGTGTTAAACAAAAGTTTAAGCTCTCAAGAGTCCTCGCGCTCTAGCAAGGCTTGAGAAGCTTATTCTTACAGATTCTGCAAAGATTTTGAATCCATCAAGACGCATTTATTGAACTCATACAAGTGTAAATCTTGCATATTCTATGAATTACTAATACACAACTTAATAACCTGGCCTTTTCAATAAGATACACTTTTGTTTCATTCCATTTTGTGTAACAGAAGAACTCTCACTGGAGTACATCCCCCTTAAACATTTTCTGCATATGACCTACATAAAAGATTCAGCCTTTCATCCAGGGACCCATCAAAGCATATTTTCACTGTCATTTAAGAGACATCAGAAATAGGCCCAACATTTATTCTGGGTCCTGACCATTTGTTAAAAAATCTAGTCCTATTAACTTCATTTTAAAGTTGCTGAAACAAGAACCCTGATGAATTCAACATCTTCTTTGAAATACTTTCAAGTGTATCAGTGTACAGATCTCTCTATACAGGAAAAAACAAAACAAAACAAACAAACAAAACAAAAAAACCCACACACAGACACACATGTGGAGCGTGCACGTGTTTTTGTTGTGTGCGAGTCATGCACGCCACCAGGCAAGCTTTCCATTTAAGACAGACATAGAAACAGGAAGGAACTTAGGAAGTTGTGTTACTTTCACTGTTTGCTAAATGCCTAAATTACAAACATGAACCACAGAAACTACAAAAACAGTCATTTCAGTTATATCCATACAAGAAATTGTTGCCTCCTCGGTATTGCTAACCCCACCCAGTATATAACAGTATTATAGACCACTAATATGCACAGGTGGGTGCATAGGTGAATTTTAACTGTGTTCAGTAGTCTCATATAGTTAGTAGCGTATTGTGGCATATTCACCTGAAACTCTTTATGGCCCTAGCAACAGTTAACTGTTTTAGCTGATAACAGATTAGTCTGTACTTCTGTTTGTGTGTCATGTTGAAAATAGAAGCTCATAACACATTTTTCACTACTACAAAGCTTTCTCACCCTTCCCCAGTGTGTGCGATAGAGTAGAACATAACAATTGTAAATGCTTTGAAGCACAGTTAAAGACAAAAAGGACACCAGAGAGACATAAGACAAAGGATAAAACAAAAGCTGGGGAGGGGGACGTGACAAAGGACAGGAGGCGGAGCCGAGAGCGTGTTGGAAGCAAAGATATGGAAGGCAAATCACAAAATAAAAAAATTTGCATTTCAGTTTGATTTCACCACATGTGCTGGCAGTAGGTAAGCCAAAATTTAAAAAAAAAAAAAATGAAAAAAAAAAGTCTGAAGCCAGTCATAGGCATAGCATTTAGAGTCAAGATTAAACCTAAGAGATACTCTGAGTCCTCATGTGGTTTCAGGTTTCTTGAGCTTCTCCTTGACAAGGTCAGCCTTCACTCATCTGGGACTGTAGGTCCCAGTTTCATTAAGCCCCTTTGTGACAATTGATTGAATTAAATCTTTGAAGTCAAGAACATTTGCCTGATGAAACAAACAGGAGATAAATGGCATCTCCATTTTATATCAGAGTATTTTCAAGCACCTCTGGATGCACAGGTACTTGCCTTCAGAGCAGTCGTACAAATAAGCTTAAAGTCACAGCTCACTGGTGCCCCCTGGTGGTGGCCCAGTCCACAGTGGTCCACAGAGACCCAGGGCCAATATAGGCCCTGCAGGACCTGCTGCCCAAAATAACATTCCTCCACCGCGGAGAGGACGACCTCGTTTCTTCTGCCAGCCGGAGAGGAAGAGGAATAGAGGAGGTGACCCATTTACAGAGACCGGGCACCAAAATGTAGGACTTTGTGTTCATTAGGGGACTGTGATTTGTGTGCATGTGACTGTTGTTCATAGCGCCAGGTAGGTACGTAACTATGGGAGACTGTAAAAAGATGACAACTACTTTTTAATGATTGAAGAGAGTATGGGATGGGATACAGACAAAGAACCCGCATGGATAAATCAAAAGTATTGAGTTATTTTCAGTCATTGTGAGGAAAAATAGATGGTTTATTTTGGGACTTGGGGGAGAAGAAAAATAAAAAATAAAACATCAAATGAGTTAATGACGTCACGACAAAACATGAATGGACGCAGCCAAAACAGCCGTCTTTCTACCTGAAAATGATGCTTTGCAAGTCGAAGGGGTACTCTATGATTCCTGTAGTGGGGATGCGCACCCTGAGTACATCCTGCTGTGTGGGAAGATAGTTGGAATCTGAAATACGATCCAGATCCGAAAGATAACTACAAACGAGCCAGTCAGGAAAAAGGAATACAAAAAAAAAAAAAAGAGGGAGGGAGGGGAGAGACAGGAAAACAGTTATATAAAGCGTGGCAGGCAATTACCGCAACACCACAGCCATTCCAGGAAAGTGTGGATCAGTCCTGTTGAAGAAGACTCACAGAAAAGGCCGCATCACAGAAACAAAAAGGTGTTAGTGCCACTGCTCCACCAACACTATTCCCAGAGCTTTGACATTAGCCGTTTATCTTTAACTGACCATGGACACTGAGGTCAAGACATTTGTGGAATATGGTGGTGCAGACAGTGTAGGTGGCGTCAGTGACAGCAGCAGTGACTTTAGCAGCGGAAACAGCAGCACCTGTATCAGATAAACAAGGATCGGACAAGTCTGACATCAAGGACAACAGGAAACATATTCCTCTTTGTTTCTTTAAAGGTTAAATTCTTCTACCTTTCAATGTGCATCCAATTGTCTAATATTTCATGACAAATTCCTGGAGAATCTTTGACATCTCTGCCTAATCCTTCTTTATCTGTACTTTGTTGCTGCTCCCTTCAGTGCAACATGTCTGGCCTTAGGTTCTCCTTTTCCCCTTGGGGCCAGAACTAGAAGACGATGCTACACACAAACCACTGATAGCCTCATAGGACAAAGCAATCTACTCATGCTAGTATCCTTTGTCCCAGCTTTAATCTTTTTTTTTGGAAATAAATGATTCTGAGCTACTTCTTTTACACTGACAGTCATCAGTGGTTTGTGTCCTCTAGTCATGGCGACGCTGCAGTCCTGGTGCCTTGAGGGGGTACCTGAAGATGACGTTCTCCAGGTCAAACGGGTACTCAATTATACCCGTGGTGGGAACACGGACCCTCAGTACATCTTGCTGGGTGGGAACATAACCCTCCGCAGTCACACGGTCTATATCACTAAGGTAACTGGAGATACACACGAACAGTGTGGATAACACTGAACTGAAGACATTATTCAATGATTTACTTGCATTTCATTCTGTCATACGCATGCTCAAACAAATACAAACCTTACACATTTGATGTCAAACTGCAAACGCATCTGCATGCACACAAACTTGACCTGCAGTACAGAGCAAGCACAACCAGGGGGCACTAAAGAGTGAGCGATGGCCTTCGGCTTTGCACCCTGGAGTCATGTATTGTGACACAAAGGGTGGACACCTTACCAAGTTATTTTTTTAAAAACAATTACTAGCAGTGCATCTTTTCTCTAAAGACAAATAGCTGTTTCTAGCCAATCTGGGCACAGAAATTGGAAGCTACTGTAAGACTTACTTTAGTGTGTTTTCACTGATGACCGCATGAAGCTCAAGCACAGGGTAAAATGAGGGACACCATAGTGGTTTCAGTGTATCCATTTATTCTTATTCAGTTGGATGAGACAGTGAAATCAGTCTCTCCAATAACAAGTCTTTTTTTTCCTCGTACAACTAATTACACTAATATCAATTAAAAGCTAAATAGTGCCATTTTCATGAGAGATTGTCAAATAAACAGGAGATTTTTGTCATTTGTCAGCCAAATTTTCCAGTGGACAAAAGGCTAATGTGCTGCTCTGCCCAGCATATACACCGAAACCCACACAGAACCTGACACCAACCACACCTTAATTACTCTGAAAATTTGCATCTTGACCTCTGAAGACAACTGTGTCCCCGCTACACACAAAGTGTCAGTTCCCCCCCAAAATCATGAAATATATATTTTTAAACTTACGTCAGGCTGAACCTAGCTTCGCAGAGAGACAAAATGACCTTGAATTTGGTGAAACGGTTCTTTATATTGCAGCTGCTCAGTCTCACATTAATTAAGCACAGGCACACCCGCATCATATTTCTCATTTCTTGGTTGGTCTCATTTCATTTTCTCATGAGATGAGACCAACACAACATTTTTAATGCAGGTTTGGGAACAGATTTTTATTTTTCATTTAAAAAAAACAAAAACAAAACAAACATACATCAGTCATTGACTACACTTAAATTATAGTAATTTAAAACAAATACCAAACAAGATGGGTCTTACACAAAGCCAAAAATAAAATGGTTAAATAGGTGACAAATGTTCCCAAACCAGCATTACAGACAAAAATTACACGCAGCTCATAAATAACATTCTTAAACATTACATAGATACCATGACCATCGTCTGCAAAGCGAGGTGAAAAGACGTACTATTTTGTGGAGTCAGAGAGCTGGTATTCTCTGCGACGGTCGTAGGCCTCCTGGATTCCTGGATCAGCCCACAGGGTTTTAATAGCTGTGATGTATGGTTGCTCAAAACTATTGATCTTCTCAATGTCCACCTCCTTCACAAGCATAGCATTAGCCTGGGAAGACAAAAGGTGAGGTAAGTAACAAAAGATCTGACATGCATGGCCACAACACAGCAAACAGAAATATATATCTATGTTTTTTAAAAACTACAAGAATTATCCAGTCATTTCAGTTTTCAGCTGTAGACTTTTGATATTTCTGCAAATAGCAGATTTTTTCCACTGTCTGTTTAGACCAAACATCCGATCCCAACCACCCACCTATTCTACTTTTTCCAAAGATAATGTTTCTGCTAGACAAACTAAATGCATCACTTCTTGCGTGCCAGAAGTTCTTTCTTGGAAAGATTTTAAAACAAACAGTTGGTCAAACTCTGAGAAAGAAAATGGCATCTGCACTGAGGATGTCGTCAAAAAAAAAAAAAAAAAAAAAAAAAAAAAAAAAAAAAAAGAAAAGAAGGGCTACACTGCTTCAGTTTCACTTTTGACGAACTAATAAGTTTCATTCCTGACCCATCCCTATAAAAGAAAGCAATATAAATAAATCTGCACTAGTCGATTTCTTACAGAATCTTACAAAATCCTCATTGCACAGAGGCATGGAAGCTCTTTTAAAATAATAAAAGTTAACAAGAGAAAACCACAATAGCCCTTACCCGGTTGTCTTCATATTTGTAGGGGATCTTGAGGGTCTCAGTGGCGCGGATCATGGACTGCATGGAGGTGAAGATGTTTTGGTAAACAAGTCGAATGAAGCCTCTTTTATCTTCATCAGAGTATCCAGCTCCATGGATGATCCTCATCTGCTTGATGAAGGTGCTCTTGCCACTTTCTCCTGTACCTGAGCACAAAGACAAAGGATCATAGTTACAGTGTGGGTAACACCTGCTGTTCAAACCTATCGTGAGGGTCCCCAATCAAAGCAAAACTGCAACAGTAAGCAGACCGATTAGCTCGATCAAGACAAAGTAAAAGACGAATTGGGATTAGTTTGAACTTTAGATCATGCAAAGCTACTCTAGTATAGTCCAAAAATGGCAACACCAAACTGGTAAAGAGCACAGTAAGAGAAAGTCCCACATGTGCCAAGGAAACAAAAATCTTAGCTTTCCTTTTAGTTCTCTACCTCTGACTGAACACAAATTCGATCACACCTGAACATAAGATATCCAGAACTGACAGGTCAACTATTTATTTGAAGATAGCCGATGGCAGTTAAGGATAATGAGCCGATGCCAATGCTCCGCCAATAAATTTGTGCAGTGGAAGTTGATAAGGCTTCTGTGGACTTTGAGAAAACATTCAAATGTGTCCCTTAAGGTGTCCTGTGGGAGTATGGGTACTTGCTTGTTGTTACCAACCAATTCCTCCATGTTCATCTGTCCTAAGAGTCTGGTTCACATTGGTACTTCTACCGCTGACGCCATGCTTCTCAGCTGGAAAAAAGGTGGACCACCCAATCTAAACTCGAGATGAATTTCTTACCCAAGTGGAAGAATTAAAGTAACTTAGGCTCGTGTGTAAGAGTGAGGACTGTGGAGCGGGACACTAACTGATGTATTGCTATAGTATCAGCAATGATATGCACGTGGAGCCGATCTACTGTGGTGAAGAAAGAGCTGAGCATGGACATGAAGTTGCCAATTTACAGATCAACCCATGTTCCCACCCTCACCAATTACTATCAGCTCGCAGATACGAGTGGCAGAAAGAGTATCTCTGCTCTCCCTTTGAGACATGTTGAGGAGGTTGATTGTTCGGGAGGAGCCGAGATTAAAGCTGCTAATCCTCCACATTGACATGAGCCAGGTAAGGGGATGCCTGATGTGCACTTCCTTAGGTGAGGTAAGGTCCTATCAGGAAATGGCCCGGGGGTAGACCCAGGACACATTAGAGCTCGCTGCTGGGTACGAAAGCTTATAAATTACTCATCACAGTATACACTACTACTTAGTCTACATTCATATAAACGTGGCAGACAAGAAATGAGAATTAACAGGGACAGGGGGAAAAAAAAAAAAAAAAAAAAGGCTCCACAAAAACCAAATCCACAAGACAAGATGTTATGGTTCCCTCTTCATGTGTCACCACCACAGCAATGAGCTACACACAGAAAGCTGCAAAAATTTTAATAGTAAAAAAACAACAAGAAAAGGAAATATATTGTGAATAAAATTGCATCTGTTGTCACTGAGGTGTTAATCCATATCACTACCCAGTCCTATTCGATGCCACTGAACTGTCCCATTTTCATATTGAAAAATCAGACCCCTCATTTCTGCCAAGACCCAGAGCCGAACCTGTAACATGAACTCAGACATGCTGCAGTCCGTTTTTCTATTTAGTTACTCGACATTTGATGTAATTAATAGGATAATTGTCTATGTTTTTCTCAAAATTATATTAATACGGGATGCTCATACAAGTCCTTAGTCAACTTGTTATAAAATCCCTTGACTGACATTCCAAACTGATTAACTAAACTCATTAGGGGTGCACATATTTCAAAGCTTCTTTGTCTAGTGTCAGGAAGTTGCACTACAGTTTGCCAAGTAAACAATTAAAAAAATATTTCTAGGAAAAAAAAGGGGGAGGGATAAGTGAGGGAAATATGAGCTAATTTAATGAAGACGATTAAGACAGCTTGCCCTACTATATCCAGCATCTAACAGTGAACTGCCTCTGACAACGACCCCTGCTGTCAACTTTTGGCAAAGGGCGAAACTCACTCAGTGATTCTTTCCTGCCCTCCTGATTCCATATTTGGAAGTAAAACTATTACAATATTTCAAACATCATAACAACCAAGATAAAATGTACATTTTGATACCAAAACATCCCTATTTTCACCGTCAGAGTCGCATACTCTTCCTTCAGTTAAAGACAACAAAAACAACACTTTAAGCCTTTCTATATACCGAAAAAAAAACCCCAAAAAACAAACAAACCCCCCCCCCCAAAAAAAACAAAAACACTTGATTGGTGGTCTGTTAGGCCTAACCTACATTTCACAATAGCCCTCTAAGGTCTGCATACTGCTTAAAAACCTTACCCTCAGGCCATGAAAATAAATAAATATTAAAAACAAAGGCTGATGGCATTTGAGTTCTCAGTGATATCAAACAGGATCCAGCACATCAATGATATCTGCAGAACTGAGAGGGAAAGACGAGGTGGGAAAAAAAAATAAAATACACACATAGGCTACACTCATCTCACCACCACCTACATTCAAGGTTTTTGAAGAGCAGCCATATTTCCGTTACCATAGCAACCCCTCCTCTGTCTCCCTCTTTTTTCGTTGCTGTGTTTTTTTTTTCCTCTTCTTTTTTAAACCCCTCCCATCCGCCCCTTCTCTCTCCTCTCTTTCGTAGCAGACAGTAAATATAACTGCGAGCCCCTCAGGCTCGCTCTGTGCTCTTCATATTTTGGTTCACCGCAGAGAAGAAGGGCCTCGGTTAAGCAGAACATTTGGGATGGGCGGGAGAGGGGGTATGGTCTGAGGTCAGGGGGTTCTGACACCTTAGGACAGTGAAAGGAATGGGAGAGATCGGCACTTTCCTGTCAATGGAGAAGAAACAGCTTAATCTCAAAAATATATTTCTAAAGTCTTTATCCATAAGGGGAAAATGGCTCTCCTCCATCCAACAAAATGCCCAATTTAGGATAACAGACTAGACAGGCTTTATAGTTCAGTGTTGTTTTTTTTTAAAAAGCAAAAAAAGCACCATCTTCATTTCTCCTGGATGAATCAATGCACTGCAGTGAAGGCTACACGCTGAACAAAAGAAGTCAAACACAGAGAGCGTATTCTTTGCAACAGGGCTGCAGTGGCAATGACTGCAGACCGGCTCACCGAAGGAGCAAGAAGATCACTCTCCAGCCTAATGTCTGATTTATTTCTCGTGACCCCATCACAAGATCTCCCTCCGCTGTGTTCCCTTAACTATCATGTCCCTCTTTTCCCCAGACAACACACTACAAGCCTCTGTCCTCGCTTTTTCCTCCCCAAAAATTGTACTAGTGCCAGCCACAGCCATTTCCATGCCCTCACCAACTCTTCCCCACTAATACGCCCCCACCCCTCGCTCCCCTCATAACCTCCCTGAGGCAAGAAATATGCCTCGCCATTCTCATCCCTCTCTGTCAAGAATTTTGGATATTCATAACTAGAATCCATCCATTCTTTTTTGGTAATGACCTAGAAAAAGGAGGTCACCTTTTAATAGCTCGCGCGCACACACACGTGCGCACACACACTGAGCTCTCTTCTAGGTACTGTGAGAAAGAGCGAAAAAGAAAGAGTGGAGATTGTGTCCCAGCGCAACAGTGCAAGGTACACTACACAGCCCACACACACACCAACACTACTCACATCGCAGAACCGATGAGCTTTGTTCCAAAAAACCAAAGTCTCACTCGAGGGTAACCCGATGACAATAAGCACACAACAAAAACTTGCTCTGAACACCCAAATTACAAAGAGGCGCTGAAATGATAACAGTACGCAAGCAGTACAGCTCCCCATCAACTAAAAAGGCAGCAAGCACTACACCTGTATATTCCATTGCCAGGATAGCTTTCATAAGCCTTTACATAACGCAACTGATGTCAGCTTGTGACACAACCCCTGATAGACTTGACACACTGCTGTCTTGGTGCAGCAGTTTTGGTTGAGCCCCGGCTGCTACGCTGTCTATTAGGTTATAAGCGTGTGCGCGCACACCTACACGAAGGCATTGCTTTGTTTACACAGTCTGCTCATCTTATAAATCTCCCATCCTGCTTCAAACGCAGCCGCCACAGGGCCTTGTTCACAAGCGTGCCCATTTCTGCTAAACCTGACCTCCCCATGCAAAACGAGTCGCTGCTTTCGATGAACAGGAAGTCATCAGCATTGCTGTAAATTTGCATGCAAAAACACACACGACGAAATATAACTGTCCACTGCTATGAACGGCACTGGTTTATCTGGGTTTATGAACGGTCCTTTCAGTCAGCACGTGGCAATCAAATCTCAGCACGGAGAAACCGTCTGCATAAACACAGCCAAGGTGAAAATACTGACAAAACTGGCATCGTGTAGGCATTATAAGTTTTTGTCAGCACCTGGGAAAATTTTTAAAAAATGAGAAGGCTAAGCAAAAATGTAGCGAGGGTCTTAAGCTTTCACATATTCATCTTGGAAATTGGCCTCTTTCAGGCGTACAAAGGAAAGGGACTGAGCCAAGGCAGCCTGCAGCTATGCAACACACACACCACCTGCCTAACCAACTGTGGACACACACACACACACACACACACACACAGATCCTGTGGTCAACCTCAAGGCATGGATGTTACCTCCACTGTGATGTCCCATTTCTATCCCCTTTCCCTGCAAACACTTCAAAAAAAGGACACAGCAAGGAGGGCCATTTCTCCCTGTCAGATATATGGCTGCTTGCTCTGTGTTCATTGTGCTTCCTCCCGTCAGAATCTCGGTATAACTCTACGGCTTTGAGCCGATGCCTCTGCATCTGCCGAGTGCTTCGCGTACGTGGGTGTCGGAGCTGTAAATCGAACATGCATGCTATAGCAAGCGCTGCACATAATACACACAGTCTCACGCGTCTTCATCTCACCACCTTAGGATGGCCTTGTCTGTTTACCAGTGTGTATGCAATGAGTGTTGAGTGGCAGAGTGGGAGTGGGTGAACAACAAAAATGGGAGGAAAAAGAAAGAATAAAAGAAACCTCGCTCGACAAAAGATTCAATACTTTGCAGCAGTATTTTTTTTTCTTTTTTTAAATCTACAACACACAGTGTGCTCAGCTGCTCCAACTAAAACCAGCCAAATCCTTGATATTGATATCGCTTCTTAAGCTGTGGTTGTTATTTTAGGGAATCTCATCACAGACAGAGAGAGAACATCACTCTGTCCACACATGGGCAGTAAACGTACGCCACGGCTATTTGCTGCAATTATTTAACAAATCCACTTTATGCAGAGCGTAAGCGTGGCACAGCCTTCCAAATCCAACTCGAAACAGAAAATTGAAGTGACAGAAGTTGAAACGGTGCGATGAGGGAGAAGTGTGGGCTTTACTGTACGCGGCAGCTGGTGGGAGTAAACAGGAATGAACATGCCACTCTGTCACCACAGAGAGGACTGAAGATGCTGGCAGAGAACAGAAAGGCAGGCTACGTACCCGTCCTGTCTGGGGACTGTGGGGGGGAAGCAAGCAGTATGTGGGACAGCCTCCATCTAGCCTCAAATCTCTAGAGAACCTGCCATGACCCTCTTTTAAGAACGCTTGTGTGTGTGTGTGTGTATACTTTCATCTGCGTGCTAGAGAGCAAAATGTGTAAAAGACACGGTGTCATAGAGCGAGACAAGGAACATGTGCAAGGCTGGCTGAGAAAACGGTGAAAGGAGACACTATCCAAGTTCGATGATGGTGAATTTGTGCATGCGTACATCTCAGTAAAAGATTTAAACTGGGCATCCTAACCAGGCAGGAGACCGAAAGGTGCAAAATTATACAAAACGCAATATGTAGCCTGACATATACTGCCTCATCAACTCATCCCACTGCAGTTTTCTGGGACCTGGCTGTGAACCTTTTCTAAAAGACATCACATAAACAAGACAGAAAAAAAATGATGAATGGAATGAAGTCTGGGTGGATTTCTCTTTATCCTCATATCTGTCTTCTTTACACATTCACAAAATAAATATGTATAATGTATAAAATGTTTTGTCAAGTACAGTTTGGGGTCTCCCCACAGAATGTACGAGGCCTTAAAGATGTTTAGTGAGAACTGCTTTTGCTTTCGATCTTTTTTCTTGCAAGTAGATGCGTCAGTCTTGCAGGCGATGAGATAAAATGAAGAACTGTCAGAGAGAACAGATTACCAATTGTCACATTTTAAGGGTTTTTAATCGTGCATATTCGTTTATCTTACATCTCTCTGGAAAATTAATCGCCTAAATATGGTAAACAGATTTTTCGAAACTCTCAGATACGCAGAGCACGTCTTACGTCGACCTTCATATTTAAAAAGCGTTAGATCTGACCATGATAAAGGGGATTTGACGAAAAGCTGCAGAACTTCACATTCACTGGCATTAAAGCCCCCCCGAAAAACTGTGTGCGCACACACACACACATCCATCTAGGAATCCCTATTGCCATATATGATCAAAATAAGATGGCTTGGCAGGAGAAGTAAGGTCAGCAATAAATGTGAGCCTAACCCTTGATCCCCTTCCTGGTTCAATCACACTGCTCATCTAAAAAGGATGCCTTAACCTGGTATAACAAGATGTACTGCTGACACAGGAAAGAACAATGAAATCACTGAGTACTTGGCAAACAACTTAAACAATGCCTGGAATGATATGCCGTAGAGAGGGCCACAACTTTTTGGTGTCAGAGTTAACTTTAGCCTCAGCCAGACTTGATTTCTTTTTAAGGATGTTTTTCACTAATCAGGCACATACACAAATGCCAACTGACAGCCTGTCTAGGAGTTTGAACTCTGAAAAAAATCCTGGAAAAACACTTTAGGAAACCATAAAATGTTTAACCTAACAGCTCACTTTACTGACCGTTTGCTTGCTCCAGCAGTTCATTTACCCGATGCAGCAAAAGCCACAGCTCTTAGTTCACTTTGTTTTGACCAAGTAGAGGCAAACCATTGGTCTGTGGAGCAGGAAGCTGTCAGTATGGCCTGATATGGCACTCAGCAACAGGCAGCCACACTGCGGTACTGTTGCAGCCCTGGCAGGGCGGTTATTCTCCGAGTTAGCAGTTTAACAATGATAACATTTAACATTTACCCTCCTTGTATTCTTAGACCGGAAACTTTGTGCTTGGGTCTGGTATAAGATGTAACCAAACCACATAACTGTTCTGGCACATACACCCTGGCCATGTAGCAAATCCTGCCAGTAAGCGAGTAGCACAGAAGGAGGGTGGACCGTCATTAGTGAGAGGAAAATCTACGCTGTTACAGGAATGCAATATGCAGTTACAGTAACATCAATCTAGAGTTAAAACAATTACAAGACTTTACCAATCTGCATTATGTGGTTCCAGATCTACAACAAACATGAGAAACTGCTACAGTGGTTAGCACAGTTGCCTCGCAGCAAAAAGGTCCCGAGTTCAATTCCAGGCTGGAGTTCTTCTTGCATGTTCTCCCTGGTTACTCCACAGACATGCACGGGGCTAGGTTAATTGGTGATTAGCCAGTTATTATTAGACTAAATTAGCTGTAGGTGTGAATGTGAGCAATCGTTCATCCCTCGCCCTGTGACAGAGTGGTGACCTGCCTCTCACGCTATGACAGCTGGGATAGGCTCCAGCCCAACTGCGATTCTGAATTGGATAAGTGGGAGAAAATGGACTGATGGAAGGATGGAAGGAAGACCTTACTGGTAACGGAATCATCTTAGACTTCTGGGCAGGCAAAAATCAATTTTAAGATTGGGCTTTAGGACGGTAATTTGCCAAGTATTTGCCGTTTCTTATGTCAGGCTGCATTTCATTGTCAGTAAGCTGGAGTTTTCTTGCACGCAAGCACAATTCATCCACATTTTTTTCTGGTAAAGAGTCTGCTACTTTGTTTTACAGAAGTCTCAAGCATCTTCCTGACTGTACTGGACATTTGATAAACAAAATGCATAGTAAGCCTGGGTAAATTAGACCCCGTTTACACACACAAAAGTTACATTTAACTTGCAGACCTGATATTTCCGTCAATGGAGGGCCAAAAATCACTTCATTTTTTAAATACACAAGGAAATCTGCTGCTCTATTATGTTAAAGCTCAAATCAGCAAAAAGGTTGTGTGATATTTTACCTAATAAAGCATATCTACTAATTTCATGTGTAACGCTGCAGGAGTCTGCAGTTGCACATTATATATTAAAGCTAAAGCTGTGCACACTGAGCCGTGGGGTAGAAGATCAACTGACATGTTGAACACATCCCGTACGTGCTTAAATCCAGGGTAGCCAATTACGAAAAAAAAAAAAAAAGGAAAAAAAACTTCTCAATCATGTGAGATGGTGCTCAATATCATTCCACCTCTCCTGTGCAGTTTCTTGGCAAAAATTCCCCAGACTGTTCCCAAAGGTCAGGGCTGGGCTTTGCCACAGCAGGTTCCTGCGATCAGTATCTACAAGCTGGTAAATGAGTGCAGACTGTAAGGAGCCTTATAAAAAAAAATTTAAATAAAGAAATGCAGCCATTTTGAAAGGCGATGGTTAAATGTTCAAAAACGGAGACCGTCTCCATCCTCTACTGAGGTGTGGAGAGGCCGAGATCGCACGGAGTGTTGTGGGCTTGAGAATTATGCCAGGGGATAATAGGAGTCAGTGACACCTTAAAAAGTCTGAGCAGCAGATGTGTTTAACCAAGCCTATTAAAACCAGGACTAATCCTGCCTTACACGTCCTTATCCAGCCGTCCACTGACAGCTTTAGCTTGTACAGGACAGTCCACTTACAGCGTGACTGGTTTCCATTTGCGCTTGCTTTCAGTCCTTCAGACTGATGCACCCATAAAAGTTTGTTTAAAAGACTGCCGTTGGAATCAGCTCCATTAATCCAGCTCATTACCAGGCATGAGTAGCAAACGCCCCTTCTCACCTGCTCACCTTGGCAGCCAGGTAGAAGAGCGTGCAGCAGAGACGAAGATGTACAACACACGGCCAACTATGTCCCATCAATGGCCTACTTTACCTAGTTGAGGTACTCACCAGGGAAATAAAAAGGAGACACACATGTCAAATAACCAGGGCTGCTTTTAGTGAGCGTGAAATGGGAGCAAACGTTTTGAAACTAAGGATGCAACCTAGATAATTCCAATTGTCCTAAAAAGGGAGATTCTTTTATCACCCCCCTCCCCAAGCTCTTACACCAAGCATTAGTTCAAGTAGCCATGGAGGGAAGGGGGTGGGTCACATAATGGACAAGAAGTTAGTCTGTTATAATATGGTAGGTAAGCGAGTACATTCGAGAAAGCACAGTCCACTGTTCCCTTTTGTGTCCACAGAACTATGAATCAATGCAGTACAGAGCAACTTATCCAACAGCAGCTCCCACCTGCCCACACACTTGCTATAAAAATAGCTAACCTACTCAGCTAGACTCCAGGATGAGGGGGCCAGCCCCTCAGTGTCCTTGTCCTCTGCAAGTGTAGATTTGTGACACTAGTTACTCATTAAATAATAACAGAAATGTAACAATGAATGAGTGGGCACCATACAAGGTCTAGCTGAGGGATCTGAAAGGTCTTCCAGTTGTACAAATGTTATGCAACCTATTGAAATCAACTCAAAGCCCCCCTCCTCCCCCCGATTAAATCAAGTGGCCATCTTCACAGTTAACCAGCGCCTGCTGACAAACGACAGTAGCGTTTTGCAGCTGGGAGATGAATCAGACCGTCATAACTTAACATGTGGTCGCCTGCAAACGGTGACATCTTCGCAACTTCGATGCCAAATGAGCCTGTTGTCTGCACGCCAATGCAAAATCCACTCACACACACACACGAATAAAGAGACGGATCCGCTGGTTAGGCATGCCATGCAGATTCGCACCTGCACACGCCAGATAGCCAAATCCAACGCAAGTTGCAAAAACAAGCTCCGCATTTCGGAAAACCATGCCATAACGTTTACTCATAATCACACCAGGCTTCCAGCTAGCAACCTTAACTAGCAGCGTATCTGCTAGCATCGCCAAGAAGGCCCAAGGAGGTTGGCTGTCCACATAAACGACACAAACATGGCTATTAAAAAGGGCGTTTGGGATTTAGCATGCTACATACCGAGCAGCAGTAATTTCAGCTCTCTCCTGGAGTCTCGCTTGTCTCGGCGGAGTTGTTTGTCAATTTCTGCATTGATTCGTTTCGACTCCTTCGCCTCTTCGCTCAGGCAGCAAGCCATCATGGACTCCAGAGTCATCCCCACTGGTTTTTGGCAGCCCGGTTCAGGCGGGACCTAACGAACACTTGCCCACGGTTTCAGCTTCTCCCGAACCCCGGTTTCCTCGCTTCTGTCTCTAGCGAGGAGGTGGTGGTGGTGGTAGTAGTAGTAGTGCCGGACCGGACGAGTGGATGGATGGATAGGACTGGGGGAGGGGGTGGGGGGAGACTAGCCAAGGGGCCTCGCTGTCAAGTTGTCCCCCCGGCCGAGAGCAACTGCGACTTCAACCGGGCGATCTCAGCAAATCACGGGAGATTCGGACAGGGAGGAGGGAGCCAGGAGACGGTGGGGCCTCCCCGAGATGCTCTCAGCCTGCACGCCTCTTAATACAGCTAATATTAAAATGACTCCAGCTGCCACAGATTAGCCACTTAATACCCGTTTATATCATTAACCCCTCGTGTGTCACTGGGAGATCCAATTTTACCTTCTTTAATTTAATCTTCTCAATCCGCTAAAAGTGGTTTAAGACCGCAGAGTCGCCACATCCGAACCCGTAACAGCTGATATCTGTGCACTCTCCCCAACGCTAGATAAGCCCGTTTAGGCTGTAAAAGTAAAGACCCCTTGTCAGTAGGCTAATATTAGAGTGGTAATCTATATTGCACTATCCACACCGCAGCACCGCGCCTATTTTCCGAGTAACTACATCAGCTAACGCTGGCTAAATTAGACGTAACGGCTACGGAGGCTGCCCTGCTAGCCCGCTAGCTCACTAAACAGCGCCTCGGCTAAAATGTGTCAACCCGCAGTGATTGAAGCAGCAGGCTGCTGGTTGAAGGAATTTGACTGCCTAGCTAGCAATAACTACACAGCAGCCTATTACATCTTGGCTCATTTTGACGATAAAATAAAAGGCTACGACAACGGCCGAAAACAAATCTGAAAAACGCGTGCCGAGCCGGCGGCTTTTGCTAGAAATATATTCACTTCAAGCAGAAAGCTTTCGGGTCGTTCGTCGCTGGAACTAGGTGGGCACACAACAGGATGATGCCAAGCGAGGAGGAGGATACAGTAGTGTTGACTGACAAACGGCGGATTTCACCAAACAGGTTCGTGGCAGACCAATTGAATGAACGAGGCGGGTCTCTGGGTGGGCTCAAGTTAGATCCATGATATATGCAGGCTAAACCTAAAAAGCATGACCAGATAAAAGCTGTTTTTTTTTTTTTATTGTTGTCCAAGTCAGAGCACCTGTTGCATATATGCTATCTCCAGCTTAATAATATGTTAGAATATATAGGAACGCTTAAATATGTAAGCACTCCTTATCCTTCCATCAATAACCTGCAGGGTATTGGAAGCGAGCGTCAAGTGTGCTGGAATAACAACGGCATCTAGTGGCCTTATAATAGAATTGCAAGTGTCGCCTGTTAAAACTGTGTTCATTCATTCACTGAGTCCATGAAGCAAATGAGGACACTTGGCATTCATAAATGGGCCATTCTGCAATTGCAGGACAATTTCTGTCCCACCCATGAATTTCAAAGTAACCCCTGTACAAAATACTAGAACACGCATTTGTTGTGTAAATTAAACATGTCCCGAGGCAGGTGTAGAAGAGGGGTTCCAAAATATTAATTAAAATACAAAATATCTCCAGGGAAACCTTCAAAAACTGTCACTTGTCTCTCGTCACAACTTCTTGACAACCAAATTGCATGTCAAATACAACAATTAACATAAGTTATAAATCCACCTTTTCTTTTTGACTATGCTGACACGTGTCTCTTATACTTGTTAAACCATTTTATTTACATCAACATATTTTAAAGAAGACAACATGATATTATGAAAAGATAAATTCATTTCTTTCTTGTATTTCTTTATTTCTGCTACTCTAATTTTATTACTCACAAGGGTTTAATCTATTGCCTTTGTAGTAGTTTGAATTATTGTATGAATAGTGCATTTGAGCAAAACATATACAGGAGTTTCTTGTTACCATAAAAAAATAATAATAAAAGGAACCCAATTCACCAAAGTGCATCATAAATAAGTGTAATGTTTAGAAATGCTTGCTTTGCCTCTGCCTTTTATAAGATTGTTGCCAACACACAGTATGGGAAATGTGACATTTTAAGGCTAATCTGGCAGACGGATTTAAAGCTGAACATTGATAAAGACTCTTGGAAAAGCATGGTCTCTAGTGTGGGTGGGCTCACAAGAAGAGCTCAGGGAAAACTGACATGTTATAAGATACTTCACTGTTTTTCAGTTTAATTCTGTTCTGTTATCTGTACTGTTCTCTTTGAAGAACAGTTTGAAGAAAATTCAAGAGCCCAATAAAAATTGTAATGACATAAATTTAAGTAAAGTTAGGTAAATATAAAAAAAAGCAACAGATTGAGATTCTTATTTCAGTAATCCAGTCATGCTGGTAATGTAACAAAAGGTATAACTGCACATGGAAAAAAGTGTTCAATTATTTAGCTTATTTTGCTCTTCAAAATAGTCACAGAAGAGCTGCCTGACTTCCTCATTATTACTTTGGTTCATGCTTGTAGAGAGAAGCTGTTTGTGGCTGGGTTGGGGACTCTCTGCCTCGGCCACCTCCACCTGCCACTCCGCTTTAAATGCGTCCCCGTGAGACTCGCACATGTTGTGCAAAATGCAGCAAGCCAGGATCATGGTGGGCACCACATCCAGTCCGCAGTCGTTCCTCTTGCTGAGGCACTGCCAGCGTGCCCTCAGCCTCAGCAGCGCCTCCTGAGACACGTGCAGCGCTCGGGCAAGCCGTCCATTAAACAGCTGCTGCTGCTCCGTCAGTGCCGCGTGACTCGCCGTCCTGCCCTGTTCCTCAGGATAGGCCTTCATCAGCCAGCTCTGGAGCGGGTAACAGGCCTCACCCAGCAACACATACCTGGATGTGATAAATGAGTGTCATTTATTTAATGCCTGGAACACCTGAAATACACAAAAACACTCAACACTACTACATTTCACAGTTTGCAAATTTGTATTATCTTTATTGGCCAGCAGTTGGCAACATTAAAAAGACGTGCAGTTGTACAGAAGTTTATAGGAAAACAAGCTTAGGTTTCCTTTGCCCTGTGACCTCAGTAAATATAAGAGTCAGAAAAGAGGATTACAGTGTCCTTGGGTTCAAAACATCAATGTGGCAACAATAAAAATGCTCAGTTTGAGCCTTCATAGCAACATTTCACCAACTAAAGAATGACATCACAGTGTCTACATTTGCTTGTTACACAAAGGCCATGTGAAAACCTGACATACACGAGGAAAAAAACAACTTGAATGCCTGAAAAATGTGACTGAATTTCTTCTGTTAACTCTACCTGAGTGATTTTCCCATGAAGGTAGGTGGTGGGGCAGGTGAGAGTCCACCCTCGGCGGCTGTTGCCCATAGCGAAGAGTTCTGTAAGATCTCAGCTGGATCTGTCCCGCCTGGGAAACTGGCACATACATCCCAGAAGTGCCCCCGACCACTAACAGCCACCTAAAACAGTGAAGGCACACAGAGGCAAATGGTCGGACTCTGATTGGATAATCCGCAAGCTTGTAATTGCAGTGACATAAATGGGCGCTTTCGTCACCTGCGACATGACTGAGAGCCAGCCGGCAGGGTTGGCGTAGTCAGATGCGTTGTTTGATGGGGTGATAATAGCTGTGTGGAGTGTTGCTATAGCAGCGACGCAGTGAGGGAAACCCCAGTGAGACAGGAACAGCTGAGCTGAATCCTCCAGCTCCTGCTCACCTGGCGATCGGAGGTAGATGGAGCTGAGGAGCGCCACGATGGCGTGACACATGTCTCTAACGCACCTGCACACGGTCGACTTCCCCACACCGAACAAGGCGCTGATGGTGCGGTACTCGATGTTGGATGCCAGGCGCCACAAAGCTACAGCTACGCGCTTCTCCACCGGCAGTGCCAGGCGGAAACTGGTGTCGCGTCGAGCCAGGCGGGGCCTCAGCTTGTCGCAGAGGTAGAAGAACGTCTCCCGGTTCATGCGAAACTTATCCAGCCAATCAGAGGGCTGGAATTCTGTCATGACAACCCGCTCCCACCAGTCTGTGCTTGGAGTGGTGGTCCAGGGACGAGTGCGGATGCGGGCATTGGAGCGGACACCTCCCGCTATCATCATCTACAGAGACAAAGATAAAAAAAAAATTAAATTACTTCCCTCTGAAATATCCAGAATCTGTCACATTTTTTAACATAATGTTTGCTTTTTTGATCCCCGCAGTAGTTATTCAATCAGATAATTTTTTGAATTCATATTTACCACAAAGGTAATTTTAGTGATCTATTAAGTCAGCACCTTTTTGGCAAACCCCTTGTTTTAAACATGCTGCCGTTGATATAGCAGAAAATTTTAGGATATTGTATTCTTGGACTCATGTAATAACATGTCAACATTTAATATGGTTTTGGCACAATCAAATGGTTAAACTGAGTTTACCCATGTAACAAAATATTATTTTCCAGTAAATCATGTAATAACTGGGGAGATATGAAGTTGGTCCTAGTGATGAAGTTTACAGATTTTTTGATAGTTGTCAAATTTAAATTGTTGCTCATTTGATATACAAATGCAAATGGTGAAGCATATTTTTTTTTAGAAATATACATTATAAAGCTTATTACATTATTATTACATAACACATTTATTAGAGCAACACCCAATGTAAGTTTATGCCACAGCTATGCTACATTAACAGTACTGGTAAATACCAAAAACATAGACATATATAATTTCCTGCAAGGGTTAATCCACCAATATGCACAAGCTCTTTCATCAAAATGATCTATTTACTCTGTAATATTATACTAACCAGAAATTCTGAGTTAGAGATGGCAAAAAAACCTAAAAATAACACAAAAAACCTTCTTGTATCAGTAACAATCTTCCATACTTGTACTTGTTTGCTGTGTAATGTTGTTTATTTGATGACTATCTTTTTCATTATCCCAACATAATATCATCAAGGTTGCTGTGATTTGTAAAATGTAACTGTATAAGTAGATATAGAAATTTCCCAAATATACCATAAAAACAAAAGTTTACAGGGGGAAAATCCAACAGCTGGTATCTGCATATCTGTCTTTTTTTTTTTTTAATGAATTGTGAACATTTCAGAAAATGTAACACCCTATTTAACAAAAACCTGCATATAACAGACCTAATTTATAGCTTTTAGCAGCTTGACTGTGGCTGATCTGACTATTTTCAAGTTTAAATGCAGGTAGGCCCACAGTCTCTGGTTTTAGTGCTTTTATATGACTGTAAATGTGAGATTTAAGAGATTTGAAGTGTTGGTCGTGTACAAGATATTGACTTTATTAAAAGCTTTGACGTTTTGCAGACAGATAATACACTATATTAGTTAAGAGCACTTGACATGTTGACGTGTTATTATTTTAAGCCCCTATAGAGGTGGACTAACCATGAGCATCCTCCTCTGTCTCTGGAAGAAGTACTGGCGGTGTCTGATGCGTCTTTGGATCTCGTTGCGTCTCTGAATGTTTGCGTCGTTTATGTCTCTCATGCGCTTCAGCAGCATGTAAGTCACGAGAAACATCAAAGAGCGCAGCTGCTCCTCCTCTTCCATTATTCCAGCTTTACCCGGGAGGCGACACTACTGCGGGTAACATGTCAGCCTGGTTAAAGCACAGCCTCTGTCATTCCACTTCCGCTTTCTCCTTGTTTATGTCTGGGTGTGAGTGGTGCTGCCATCCAGTGGCTGTCAAGACGAGTAGGGTACTGCACATCTCTCAGTGCTGATGAAGCTCTGTATATTGTTTTAGCATTCAGGGTTGTAGTGCTTTGGAAACAGTGATGTAAGCATCTGACATTCTTCGAGAGTGACAGAAACTGGTTATTATTAAATGCGTTAGGTACTAGAAACGGGTTCCTCCCAACATACCTCTCAGAATATAAAAAAAACCCAAAGGAACACCTATAGGTCATTTTGTAGGACTTGGGCAGTGCTTCACCTGTTCCTCGTCACATACAGGACCAGATACCAGCTCTCCTCATGTAAAGGCCAGTCTCCACACTTCCACACTTTGCAGGGAGACATGGAAAACCTTCTTTTGACAGGACATGCAGACGTGCCATCCTGGAGGAGCTGGACTACCTGTGC